GCTCCACACACCAGGCCTCTCCCCTCACATTTTCTTCTTATTCAACCTTTAATCAGATCAATTCTCTATTCCATTCACAGCCATATAATAAGGTGATTATGTATTACACACACACATGAACACGCACGCAAGCACGCACGCACATATCCAGCCCCTTAGCTGTGATAGAAGCTGATGTTGCATCTTCAATAAAAATTCTGTGAATGTCCTTCCTAAGAGAAAACTGGCAACCTGGTGCTCCCAGATTAATTTGTCTCTTCTCTTCTAATCAGTGTCAGAATGGAGGACGAACCCAGAAGTGGAGGAATGAGGGAGTAAGCAGCGGCTGGGAGGAGGCCAGAAGTAATGACAGCAAACAAGAAGGCGAGGAAGGTTCCTCTAAGTGTTTGATTAGAGACCATTGGCAGACCACTGGAATGAAACCCAGAAATTGAATTAATGTATTAATAACCAGAAATGAACAGTGTCCACAGTTTCTTTTCATTCACCACCTCAGGACATGTTTATGGATGAACCTGCCAGATCTGCGCCTTTAATGAATCCACGTCTGAGAAGTCACCATAGTAGTTACCCTGTGTCTCGTTTTAGCATAAAAATACAAAATAATCTGATGGAGAATATCTAAAATGGAAACAAAATTTTCCCTATAAATAATATTGCAAAAAGTGTTTGTCCCCTTTCCTATTACATTCCTAAATAGAAAAAAGCCTTCAGAAAGTGGGATAATGTAGCTGAACAAAAAGCCAGGGACAAACCAAACAGCTCAGAGGTAAAATTGATCAGAAGTTTGTAACATTATATACTTCCATTATAAAATGTTCTAAGGTTTGAATATGTCAAAATGCTTTTCTTTACCGGACAAGACAAAAAGGTGAAAGAATGTGCTTTCCTTAAGTGAAACCAAAACATAACTTTTTGGTTTAATGTTAAGCATTTTGTTAGTAGAAACAAAGCTAAACACAAGCAATTTTTCTTGTACATTGCAATTACAATTAATTAATTGATGTTGCTGTATTGGATAAAATAAATAAATATAGCAAAATTTGTGTTGTAATGTGCCAAAAATAAAGGGTCAGAATAATTTTATAAAGAAGAGTAGAAGGATTTACCTCTAAGTTGAAAAGTCTTTGTTGTTTTGAGTGAAAACAATATGAGAGATATTGATGCTCTTGTCAGGACACAAGAGCATCTAAATGCATTAGTGAAATTTATTTCAATTATGTAACAGAACACCAGAAAGTTTGTTTTATTTTATTTACACAAAGAGATGGCAGATCACATGAAGTGGTGAGTTAAGAAAGACATAGGCTGCAGTTACTGAGTCAGACAATAAAACAAAGCATAAGGGAGTACACACACTAATTGGTTTGAGAGTTCAGCATTCCCCTGACAGAAAGCCAAGCAGTCTGATGCTTCATGCCAGCTTTTATGTACATTACAAGCCATATTACAGATGAGCATAATCTGCAGCTGCATGGACAAAATAAACACTGCAGAAATATTTTGCAGGGCATACATTCATTTAATTCAAGAGAGGAAAACCATACATAACAACGTATGCATTTTTTGTGTTACATTTAGACAGCTTGGTTTTTTCTTCTTAAAAATTCTCTGTATATGTACTGACAAGAGCATATAATAAAAAACAAGCTCTCAACTACAATAGGCGAACGTCTTGTTTGTCCACCTGTGACTAATTATCAACAAAAGTTGCAGATAAAGTGTTATTGATCATTGTGAAAATTTTAGGTTAGCCTGACCTTCTCATTACACATCCTGGGCGTGTGGAGCTGTTTTCTGGGTCAGCAAACTATTTTATCACAGAAAAAGAAGAATACAAAGCCCAGGGAAATAAACACAGCACATCGGGGCTGTTTGATAATTCTGCAGGAACTACCCCAAAAGGATGAAAACAGATAAGAAAAAGTTGCCTTTAGACACCTTTTATTCATGTCATATTCATTCACAGTTTTTATGTGTTATCTCAACAGATAGATCTGATTTATGTGGGACATGAAATCTGACTTTGCTTCCTATATCAATGAGAAAACGTCAGTGTCAGTGTCCACTTTGCCATCCTCTTCCTTGATGCAAGGTTTATGGTTACTATTTTATTTACTCCAGTAATTGGTTAAAATGCACAGAAGCGCTCATTGTTTCTTTACTCTAAACTACATTTCTGAATTATCATAGCATAAAGTTGTCAGCAGTTTTAGTGAATCTGACAGTCAGAACTCATTTAATACTGATGTGATATAGCAAATAGTTGCCAGTTCTACATTTTCTGTGCTTGTCTGACTGTTGTTTTCATATTAAGGACAAGAATTGCAATTAAAAAAAAAAACATAAAAGCCAATCTTATTTGTATCATATTGTAAATATTACATTAAGTAACTGCTGAAAATATTTCATTCTGGGTACATACTTAAAATAATGTGACTGTTGTTGCTTTAAAGTATAAAAGCTTTGGTAAAAGCATAACTTTGTATTTTAAAATTAGAATAATATAGTTTTGGTTAAAAAAAAAATCATCATATTGACATGAAAGAGAACTGATTATCTGATGTTTTTCCTGGTAAAATCAAGGTTAAATATAATAAACAAATGATATTAGCAACTGGCAGAATTAATGATGTAGTTCTACTGTTCTTTTCTCAAAGAAGAATAACTACTTAAAACTTAAATTAATTATAAAAAGAAGAACTAGGTTCATAAGTTAAAACATAGAGCACAAATATATAAACATACCTATATACCAACATTGTTACTATGTACATGATGGAAAGTCCAAAAACCGAACTTGTGCTCCCAGTTCTTGTTTCTGAATTTCCTTGAAACAATTTGTCGACCAAGCCAAACGAATGGTTTGAGAATGAAAAATGCCATTAAAAGTGTCTGACACTCAAATGAATGATAAGTGGGAAACCAAACTTAAGAAATTAGAAAAAAAGGAGCCCTGAAAAATGGTGAAGCATTTTGTAAACAGATACAACTAACGAGCAGTGGTTACTACTCTATTTCAGTCAAATAGTTTGAACAGTAGTGGCAAAGTACAGACTCCAGAAGGCTTCAGTCTGGCTGTCATCTAGTTTTCTGTCCAAGAGTCATCATGAATGCACAAAAACTCCTCTGAGCGAATGCAGCTTCCTTTCAATCCACTGTTAGGAAGCAGCCAGTCATTCTGTGATAAGTAGTGACAGTCAGATGTGAATTCAGGTGACGGCCTTTCTGTCTGACTTCAGCAAATATGATGACAGAAATGGAAATGATGGTATTTTTTCCTTTTGAAGGTGTCTCAAAAAGCTCCTCATGCATAGAATGCTGGAATTAAGGGGATAAAGCACAAATCATCAACATCAATTTTAACCAGAAAAAAAAGGTATCTAGGGTCTAAGAGAGTTCTTCTTTGAGGACAAGAAGGAAAAGGAACTGAGAGGTGTGTAAAATCTCAAATGAGCATCAGAGGTCCTGGATTGTTTATCTGCAGCCTCCAGTGTGCATCCTGTATCAGTGATAAAAGATCTTCTGAAGTCTGTTGTTAAATAAACAAAATTTGCATATTCTAACTCCATCCCAAGTATAAATGTCTCATTAAAATAACAAAGAAAGGTTCTTGAAACGTTTACATGTCTTAATAATCTCTTTCTCTGTCATTATTCTTTTAGCGCATTTCATGTCTTAGATAATAAAAAAAGGAGGTTGTCAAGCTTAAGTGCAGCTTTTAGGAAAGTGGGGTAACTGTCCATGTTTTAATGAACATATTAAAAACATGGAATCATGTTTCAGTGCTTCATAAGGAATGCCGGATATTCTGTAGAAGTGTGCATGTATTTAGAATATCTTTTAAGCATCTCTAAAATAATATTTTAAAAATATATATTGAATGATAATATTTTGTCAAATTAAAATTATATAAATTATAATTTTTTTATTAACTGACAATGTTTTGAGATCTTATATTAAGCTCAATTTTTTGACACATTATTTTGATGTATTCCTACTATTTTTCAAGTCAGTTTTTGGTGGAGTAGTTGGGTTAATATTCTTGCTTGACCACTTGAGATGATTCCCTTTGAAGTGGCATTTGGAGTAAGACCAAGTCACTTTCATGCTCCTGGCAGGAGCAAATTTGCATTCAGCATGCACACACTCTTGCTTTTACCTCAACTCCAAAATAAAATAAAAGTAAAAACGTCTTCTGCCGTCATGTGAAATAAAATATATGGATGGAAAAACTCCAAATTATTCTGCTTCTCTTCAAATAAACAGCCTAATAGTTGACAATTGGACATCATAATGTGTTCAAAGAGGACAATAATTTCAAGCATACATAAATACTGGATTTTGGAGTGGCTAAAGCATCTTAGATGTAATGCTCTGGAGCAGCTCCAACTACAGTCAATAGAAAATTTGGGGATTGATTAGACTGATAAGAAATCTGATTAAATATTACGGTAAAATTATATTAGAGAACTTCTGATGGATTGTAGTGTATGTAGAAATTTCAATGTGATGTATAAATGTATAAAATCCTCCTTAACTTCACATTTGTTGATTATATAATCAATCCATCCAGAGAATGATTATTGAGTTATTATTCAAGAAAAATACTTGAAAGAACCTTTGAAATAATGAATGTAGTTAAACCTCTGATCAAAACTGCATGTTTTCTTTTTGTTTGTAAGTTGCTCCAAGTATAAGGGTGCTGTTTATCCAACCGCATATTATGTGCACAACTGCGCCCCCATGCGTACTTCCTTTTCATTTCAACTAAAATCTTACGGGAAAATAGATTCTGATTCAAACGTCTCGTTTCTGAAGAGTCAATTTTACTTTAGATTATTGTCTTTATTCTAATGCCAGTTATAATATTGAAATGTGAGTATCTTTCTTTTTGCTTTTATTGACGTAATTCAATAACTCAATTCCTTCTTCCTGAGTAGGAACTTTTGTTCTACCACGTGCTTCCGGTCAGCTTCTCGTCACTTCCTCCCCACGCGAGCTACATCAAACATGTGAGTGGCTGTGCTACGTTGTATCTTCGCCAGATAATTCCACGTTTTTACACAACTAGGAAGACATTCTTGATCTTATTGTTCTCCACAGTTTTACGATGGAGTCAGCAGAAGAGGACTCGATGCACGACCAGAGTTCAGAGGACGAAGTCAGTGACTTATCGGATGGAGAGGTAGGTTTTATGTTAGCATCAAAGGTGCTAATTAGCTGAGCAAGCGAATGAAACTCGGACTGGTGTTGGTGTATTTGTTTTTAAACACTTTACGCTCTGGTTTCCAAACCATGATGTATCTAACATTTAAATGCAAAAATAAAATGATTTTGGGGCCACAAAAGTCTGAGTTATATTTTGCACAGTTTAATCCACCACCTGAAATGAAGGAAGAATATGATCCTCTATTCATTACACACAAAATAGTCTGTGTTTAATAATGAGATATTATGGGGAATAGTGATGCCAACGATAAACACAATTGCCTCACTACACTAAACTGCTTTTTAAGTGTCTAATAAGAGAAATATTCTGTTGATTGCAAAATAAAACTGTGTTTTGACTAATTGTGGAAACGTTTAAGATTCATTGGTCTGAATGGAATATCTACAGAGAAAATGCCACAGATGGACATAGTTTTATGTGCACTGTCTGGAGTTTTTTATGATCTTTGGAAGAATGTAAAACATGCTATAAATTGTAGTGTTTAATGACTGAAAGTGTGGTATAAATGATTATACAACATTTGATGAACATTATATGATTTGTGGATATTTACACTTTTACTGTTTAGTTACATAAACTCTGTGTGCATTTCAAAGCTTCAGGAAGCTTTCGCTAAAGGGTTGCTGAAACCTGGGATGAATCTTGTGCTGGAGAAGAATAAGAAACTTGTCAACAATGTGGTGAGTAATTTATATCCACAGGAGTTAAGAATACATGTAAATAACATTTAAACTCTTGGAAGCTTTTAATGTGACCATTTAATTTGGAACAAACTTCCAGAAAACTGTAAAACAGCAGAAACCCTGACTTCTTTTAAATCGCAATTAAAAACACACCTGTTTAGAATTGTTTTTGAAATGTAATATGTAACAATGTATTGTTTATTCCAGGATGCATGACTTTGTGTTCTTGTGTTTATGATGTAAAGCACTTTGAAATGCCTTGCTGAAATGTGCTATACAAATAAAATTTGATTTGATTTTGATTTAATCTGTGTATTTTTTATTTTTTTTTTTGCAGGAGGGGTTGAAACAGTGCCTTGCTGATTTCCGCAAAGACCTACCTTGGGTGGAGAGGTTAGACATGACCAATCTGCCAGCTAAAGACGTTGTCTCTGAAACTGAAATGAAGGTTTCTGCTGAGACCAAAGGAGAACTCGATGCAGATGATGATTTCCAACGAGAAATGTTCTTGTAAGTAGTTGCTAGTGAGAATACAGAAAAAATAAGTTTCCTCCAACTGCCCCTGTTGTCTTTTCTTTTTCTGTGACATATACCAGTTTATCCGGTTATTATTTTTATTTTTTTGGAGCTATAATATACAAGAACAGCCTTCAGAATATTTTTTTCTAGCCATCCTGTCGTGATCTGTCACAGATGTGGCCTATATCTATGTTGACAATCATTTACTGTGATTTATTACTCAGTTTACCAATGATTACTAATTGTTTGACACAATTTATGTTAAACTCCAGCTACCGGCAGGGGCAAGCTACAGTCCTGGATGCCCTGCCTCTCCTCAAAGCGCATAATATAGCCACTAAGAGGCCGGATGATTATTTTGCAGAGATGGCCAAGTCAGATCAACAAATGCAGAAGGTAAATTGTTCATTTTTCACAAAAGCCTGTCCACTTGCAAAGCTGCATTGTTTATATACTTTATATACTCTAATCTTTGATCATTGCTGTTCAAACTACAAAAAAGTATATATATATATCTATATAGATATATATATATATATATGTATATTTCTATATATATATAGATATATATATCTATATCTATATATATATAGATAGATAGATATATATATAAATATATATATATATATATATATATATATATATTAGACTTTAATTTTTCACACTTCAAAAACAAAAATTACACAGGTCTGTTGATGTTTTATCAGAAGTTATTTAAATGCACATGTTTTTTTTGTTTTTTTTCTTTCTTTAGATAAGGCAAAAGTTGATCACAAAGCAAATGATCCTGGAAAGGTCTGAAAAAGCCAAAAAGCTGCGTGAGCAGAGGAAGTTTGGGAAAAAGGTTTGTTTGTGCCTTTCTTTCACAAAATGTTAAGACACATTTTCCACTTTAACAAGAGCAACTGTGTGGAATCTGATTGGATGTCAGGTCCAAACAGAGGTGATTCAGAAGAGACAGAAGGAGAAGAAGGCTATGATGTCAGCAGTAAAGAAATACCAGAAAGGTGGGATTTTTACATCTGTAATTTTTTTATGACTTTCTTTTTATAGTAACGTATTTGTTTATTCTGCTTGGTAGACGTGAGTCTTTTATGGGTTTCATTTCCTCTCTAAATTTGTCCTTTTGCCTTATAGGAATGACTGACAAACTGGATTTCTTGGAAGGAGACAAGAAAGGATCTAAGAATTTGTCTGATGGGTCAAAGAAAGCTTTAGCCAAAAAGGGGTAATTATTTTCTCCATATGTCTCTTTTTAAAGCTGCATACTTCTTCTTTTTCATTTTTATTAAAGCATCAACTTGTTTTGTTCGTGTCTTGTGACAGCAATAATGCTAAGCGAAAATTCAAGGATCAAAAGTTTGGCTTTGGAGGTAAAAAGAGCGGGAAGAAGTGGAACACAAAGGAGAGCTTCAACGATGTTTCCGGTTTCCGAGCCAAAATGGCTCACGACAAGGGAGTGAGGAAAGGCAAAGGAGGAAATAAAAATAAAAATGTGAGTGAAATGCACATAAAATCAACAGATATACTGGAGGAAACTTTTTGTAAAATGACTCCTAAATTTTTCCATTTGGGTTTTCAGAAACGTCCAGGCAAGTCTGTCCGCAGGAAGATGAAGGGTCGCTCATAAACTGGACAGGATTTGGACCTCATTTCTTGGGCAGGATTAAGCAGGACACTGTAATTTGGACTACATGTATATATTTTATACAATGTAATTAAACGTGGAATTGTGTGTAGATGTTGAACACCATAAAACACACACTTTAAGATGGATCCTGTTCAGACAGAGGTAAACTGCAGACTTGGCTGAAAACACAGTTTTCCTCCAGGCATTTTCAAGTCATCTTTTATTGGTCATCGAATGATGGTCTTAAGGCCATTTTTGGAGACCACATGTCAGTATCTACTCCAGCTGCCATGCTGTCTAATGGATACCATGTATTCTGACTTTGGGATACTGTTTTTGAGTTTTTCTGAATTTGCCCCTGGACTTAATAGATTCTCTGATGTGGCATGACCTTTTATTACCAAGCTGCTGTCAGTTTTGCCTTTGCCCATTCATTAGTATGTAATGTGTTTTGTATAGATTTGTGGTTTACTTTGAGAGTAAACCTCACATATGCAAATAAAACAAGAATGTTTTAATGATGAACACAACAGATCTGTTCTTACGGTTTAATCGCCACGCTTTTTGGTAAAAAGAGCAAGTTGAGTAATGTCGGTCTTACGTCGTGGGAAGTTGAATCTTTGGTCTTCACGGTCTTGTGGAGGCTAGTGGGAAAGAGTAGAATTTGAGATTTGAGTAACACTTGGAGATTTGTTTCATTTTGAATTATAAAAATACACTGAGCATTCTGAGAGAATTTACTATATTCTATTATATATATATATATATATATATTTCATTTCTTAGTATGATTGGGGTTTCTTGGGCTCTTGGCTTTAAATTCTTCAGAGGTCAAAATGAGTGAAGACGCACAGAATCTAAATGCTAAAACACCAACACAAAATTTCAAAAGTTCCTGATTTGGGAGCTGAATCATCTGCTGAGGTTTGTCTGCTGTGTCTTATAAAATCAAGTCAGCACAGCTGTTGTGTAAGTAATTTGACAGCACTTCATGCTCTTTCTGCAGTCATAATTTATAGTGATAATGCAGATTTTCAGCAGGACTTTGACATTCCCACACTGCTGAAAGTACCGATACATTGTTCACAGATACCTCTGTGCTTCAATGGCTATCAAACCCATTGAAAACCCCTGGGGTAATTTGAAGAGGAAGTTGAGACACTGGAGGCAACAATGCAGGGCATTTAAAGGCCGGCGTGAAAGTAACCTGGACTCCCCTAACACTTTAGCATAGCCACAGCTAATCCCCGCGTCACACAATATTCAAACAAAAAGAGGCACAACCAACTTTTGTGTGTACACTGGACTTTCATTATATTGATAAAACCGGTTACTCCTCACCAGTTGACTGGCAAACCATCCAATCTCTTGACTTTCAGTGATGGGTTTGGGGTACTTTAATGACGGTGCCATGCGGACCCTTCGGTAGGCGTCAATATAGGTTGCTGTAAAAGAAAAATAAAATGACAATGTTTTTTTTTTTTTTTAATTTAGAACAAATATTTTCTCTTCAGTCTAAATGAACTTACTGTCCTCTGCTAGTGATTCCGGTGGTTTTTTGCACATGGGTTTGTCAGGGATGACATGTACTATAAGAGAGAGGTTCATGAAAAAACTCATTTTGAATCAAATAGTTGAATGTATTTAAATATAAATGCATTCAGCATAGTAAAACATTGAAAAAAAAAAAACTTACACTCAGACAAGAGTAAGTTATCATTTGACTCTGTTCTTATTTGTAAACTTTTATTGCAGCAAATGTTTGTTTCAAAAATTATCTTTAAATCCATAGTATAAAATTGTTTAACTGAACTTGAAGTTTCAGTTGACCAATTTTGCTATAAATTTTAGGCTTATGCTTATCTGTTGGTTGTCAAATCTTTTCAGCAGTTCAATGAGTTAATCTGTTGAAAATATTTGACACGTATGAAGGCAATGACCTTTCACCTTAGTGTTTTCAAACATCTGCATCTTATCATTTGATATGGTAAAATTGGAGCTGTTTCATTGTAGCTGGAGTTACTGTTACATGATGTGTTTGACATTTAACTAAACTATAAAGTGTCACTTAACTTTCTACTTCTATAGAGGAATCATAAGGTATAGTTTTATCCATCTAATTATCTAAAAAGAAATGCCATAGTAGTAAAGACAATAATGAATTTACGGTTCATTTCTGACGCTGTAGATTTAATCATTGTGAAAAAACGAGGAGTACAAAAATTAGAAAATTTGAGATTAATCTCAGATTTTTTTTCCCTCACAAATGTTGACTTTTGGACCTCAAAGTTTTTCTAGAAAACTTTTGAGGTTAATCTCATTCCTGAATTTCTTGGCGGAAATGTACTCCAGTTTTATTCAGCCCTAACAAGCCTTCGCAGTTTATCATTTTAAACGCGTATTTGTGATACAATTCTTTGTTTTTAGCGCTCGAAACTTAATTGAAATTGTTTGTACTATTTACATACTCACAGTGAATATAGTGCAAACTATTTACAGCCTGTGTTCATGCTTTACTTGTTTTGCAGAAATTAAAAGGGGAGAAACAGACATAACTTACACTTCCTGAAAGGGTTGATGCTGAACTCGGTGTGCAGTTTTTGATATCGCCGCTCTTTCTTTACATTCTCAACGTGAATTGCGTTTAGATGAACCAGGTCCTTTTCCTGCCTACCACCGGCCATAGTTGGAAACAGCGCAGCGGGGCAGCGACCCTCTTGCTTTGGTTGACGAGTTGCGTGTTGCCTAGCAACAGCGAGCGTTGCTTTAAGTTGCAGTTCCGAGGCTCGAGCGCAAGATGGAGCCACGCGCCCGGCAGTTAAAAAAACAAAAACAATCTATTATTAAAGGAATATTTTGTACTGAAATAAATTAGAAATTGCGCTGGGAGAATGAGGATGAATCTGCTATGTACAGCCATTCATAAACAAAAGCAAGAAAAATGGCAAATATCAGAATAGGTTACTGAAAATAATAATAATAAAATAAAACAAGTTAACTTTCATTATACTGCATATTTATTTTGGCTACTGGTTTTTGCAAAAAAAAAAAAAAAAAGAAAGAAAAAAAACAGCTTGATTTCTTCATATTGCAAGCAGCTTCGGATATGTATAGTTTAGGTCTTTGTATGTGTACATGACTGACATCAAGATCAAGAAAATTATTCTTAATATACTGGGAATTATTTTCACTATAGACTTTATTGTCCTTTCACTCCCTATGGTTATGAAACTATATTTTTCAAGTAAATGGCATGGCATAAGTAAATCCTATTAAATTAATGGATTTAGGATGGTGATAACCAAACTGGCCACCAAACTGGTGGACATAATGGTGATAATGTCCACCAGTTTGATTACTTAAATTCTGCTTGCTTAATTGCAAATAAATTTGTATTTTCCTCTTTTATCACTGTTTTTGGAAGCTTCCAAAAACACATTTTACTGTGCTTTTGACTAATTGGGGAAGCCCAGATAATGTGGCTATGGCAATGTGAACCTATTTAGATTAATTCACAATATTTGACTTAATGTCAAAACAGAGGCATGCTTCAAACACTTCTGGTGTGACATATTGAAAAACCGGAAAGATAGTAAGACTGAATACAAGCTGTTACTAACTATTTCTGACTTTTGGAATGGATAAACATTTAATCAATGTGAACATTTCAAATTAATGATCAGAAACATATTGACACCTCTCCAGAAGATTCATGAACTTCAGACACTTCAGTAGTGTTTATGGTGAGAATAAAATTGTGTTTCACAGAATGCTGATAACGCTTTACTTTCTCTTTTTTTTAATGTGATGACACAAATCTCTCTTATATGCCACTCAGATCTTGCTGCAACTCAAAGCAGCAGACAGCTTAGTAATGGTTGCGATGCATAACTACTGGTTCCTGTCTCATAACCTGATTCGTGCCTTATTGGCCCCATGTGGAAAACATATAGGAAACAAGCAATAACTCAAACACCGGGAGGCTTTGGCAGAAGATTTCATTGTGGGTTTGTGACATGTCCCATGTGGGTTTTGTATTTGTGTGTGAGGAGGTCTGAGTAATACGTGTAATGGGTGGAGGGGAGAGCTTGCGGTGCCGCGCACCAATCCGTCGCTCCTGTCATAGTGTCCAACCACGTTAATGTCAAGGGAGCTTTTAAGCTTGCAGGCAGTGTGCAGTCAAAGGCCAGTTTGTGAGTTTGTTCAAACTCCACTTGCCAGAGGAAGAACTACAGGTGGTGTTTGAGTTGATCGAATATGACATAATTTTAGTCAACCTATCTCCCCCTCTGACATACAGAGGTGAAAGAGAGTGTTTCCAGCCATTTGAATGTATTTTAACAAATTAAATCTAATCTCTTGTGTCCTTTGGGTATTACCATTTGGGAAGATAAAACTGTCTCATTTTAATATGACTCAGATGAGGTATTGCAATTAAAATAAAAAAAAAAAAACATAAAAAAATAAAATAAAATGAGAGCACAGTTCTGTAAAGAGCAATCCCATCGTATAATTAAATAGCTTTCCATTTTTGGTGTTATGCCACTTCATCAAGATGTGTAATTACCACAAGGAAAGTTTAATATGCATGTCTTCTCTTTAACAATGTTTTTGCACATGAGATTTACTGTATTTTTTAAATTATGCAATAAATTAGAATAATTAAAATTAAAATAAGGAAGGAGGAGTGTTATTTCAGACAGTCGATCTCAGAAATGTCATGACAAGTGAAGGCAGAGATATGAACGAGCCAAAATGCTAACAGTAACTGTTGTGTGGCATAGTGAAAATTTATTTAAAATTAAACACGGGTATGAATGCTTATCAAACTAACAGATGTAAAAAGAAGCCTGCACAAGACAAGTGCATGTCTAGAACTCAATTAACTGAAATAGATGAGGAGGATAACTAATGATCAGGTAACCGGTGGAAAACATGAACTACATTAACAGAGGCAAGTCTGATCTGAGAAAATTAACAGGAGAAGCAGATTAGACAGACTACTGGAATAAATGCAAGCAAGAAATGAAACCTGAAATCAAATGAATGAGAAACAGAACCTACTCAACACAAATTAAACTAATGATAAGAAAACCTAAATATGGATACTTGAGCATAACAAGTCTGATGCACAGGGATAATAGTAATCAAAACTTGTAAAGGCAAAGACAAGACATGAACAAAGAATCCAAAAATAGAGTAACTTTATTAATGAAAATAGCACAATCATCAAGACTCTAAATACTATGAGGACAGTAAGCCAGAAAGGTTTAAACTGTGAACATGACAGGAATCATACTGTAGTTTAACTCTTCATAGCTAAGAAGAGCTAAATAGAAAGCAAGACAAGATCAGAGACAGAAGCAGAAAGCAGACAAAGCAGGAGAAAAATAAATTCAGAATTCTAATGTAAATTAAGCATGAACAAAATAATCCAGATTATCATAAAATAACCTAGAGACATACTATTCATACAAAATAATCAGATGTATATAATTGTGCTCATGTATGTGGCTGTCATCTTTCCTTT